TAGTAACGTGACTGACACGAACGGTGCCTGCGCTTTACTTCACTGGGCTGCGCCGGCCCTTTGATTTAACTGGCGCTGCTCGACGACTCGGCACCGCTGTATTTTTAACTGGCACTGCTCGACGACTGCTGTATTTTTGCCGCGATGCGAGGTTCTCGCTGGGAGCCGCCACGTTCGGCCAATGGAGGTCGGTGCTCGAAAGGGAATTTGGAAAGCGAATTGGCCGTGCCAATCTTTGCGGCACGTTAAACGGGGTTGCACAGGTGAATTGGCAGCAGCAGATGTGTAAAGTTGCTTGTAATCATCATTCAAATGAAAAACACTTTTGGGGCCTCCAGGTGTAAATGTAGAATTGCTGGTGGCTGCCGAAGCGTGTGCTGGGCGCTGCTGCGCGAGTGACGTCGCCGTGCGAATGTGGCCGTGTGCAGGGCGAGTGGACGTGCTGACCGCTGAGCCGCTCCTCTTGGAGGAGTTCTCTTCCTCCGATCTGCGCCGCAGCCTGCACTACAAGTAAGTGCAGCACCACTCTGAGCTCTCTAGGAGCTAAAGAGATAACATCACACTAAGCTATGAGATAAGAGATACACAAAATTCCATTGCATTAGTCCACTTCAATGTGTGAAGTGCACACTGCTGGTCATGATCTCAAGGAGTTACTGTGTTTGTTTTCCAGCCCCACTGAGCCTCTGAAGTTGCTTCACAGGATAATGAAGAGGCTGTACAGGTCCGTTCTCAAGACTTCTCTATGATGTATTATTTTTAATCTGTTTTCATGTCACCGATGCAGAGAGAGAGAGAGTCTTAGTTATAGTGATAAATAGGAGGACCGTCAGGGTCCGCGAAGCAGTGATCGATTGCGCGTGGGAGCAGAGATGTTCAGTGGGGGGAAAGGAGATCTGGGACCTGGTCGGTGGTGGCCGAGGGAGAAAAAACGAGAAGTTGCTTTGGTGGTCGCTAAAAGTGACAAGTGAAATGGTGGTGAGCGAGATGGACTTGGTGTTAGAGATGACAAGGCTTAGAGTGTGCCCATGGGAGTGTGTGGGACGTGAGATATAGCTGTCATCTTGACCTCATAGGCATTACTAACCAGATTAAAATTCGTAACCACTGAAAATGTATTCTAATTTAATTATCATTTACCTAGAATAATGATTAATATTGCATTAAGTATAACTACTGGTAAATATAGAAGCCTAGTAGCAGCACAGCATTGTTATGTGTTGAGCAAACCCAACGATCTATGGTAATTCTAGTGATTCATGTTTCTTCTGCGTGTGTGCAGCCTGCCTGCAGGACACTACCTGCTGAGCCACGTGGCAGGAGACGTGTCCGGCGCTCTGTCCGGCAGCGTGTCCAGCGCTCGCAGTGCGTACAACCTGCACTCGGCCCACGGGCAGCTCCCCAAGGCGGCCTGCTCGCCCTGCGTGCCCTGGGTGCCCATCAACACCTGCCTACTGCTGCCCTTCCACTCGCAGTATGGCCGTGTCCCGGGGACGTTCCCCCCCTCGCCTCAAGGCCGTGGCACCGCAAACAAGGTGAGGGGTGGCTGTCGGTGTGGTGCAAGGGGTAACACACAGCTGCCAAAAGAATTTATTTTATTTTAAAGTTTATTTTGTTTAATCAGGTGAGAACTCATTTGCAAGAGTGATCTACGAATCCTCATGCACTGGATTGCCGCTGTGATGTTAAGCACCGTGCACTGGAGACATCACAGAGTTGGATAATACGTGGACCAATTATTGTTTTTTTATGAGCTCGCTGGAAAGTGTTTATTTATAATTGTATATGTCAAGGGTGGAGGTCGGCTGTTTTCTAAGAGGTAAGGAATTTGTAGAATGACACCTTGAAAAGGTGCCTCACTGGTTCACCTGGATTTGTGTGAATTCTAACTCTCACGTTTTGACCACGAGTGCTCAACTTGCCAAAAATGAAAATGTTTTTTTTGTGTGTAAATTATTGAGCAGTTTCCTTTCTAATGTAGTTTGATTTGGGGCCATCCATTTAGTATGTATGCATGAAGGGGGGTTAACCCAAATGCGTACGCTTGCGTATGGGGGGTCTACTGACAATGTACGTATGCATAGGAAACGGGGGGAGGGGGGGGTGAAGCCTCGATAATAATTTGTCTACATTGGCCTTCAAATGAGTTAGATAGTCTGGCGGTAGACTATCTGTTTGCTTTAACACGTTAATATTATTAATCCTTGATCGTTTCTGCGTGGATTAAATATCGGCCGTTCTATAGGATTCGGGGGGGGGGGGGGTAGTGCGTCAAGCATACGTACGCAGTTGGGGGGAGTCAAGTTTTGACAGATTTTTGCGTACGTACTAAATGGATGGCCCCTTTGGCTTTTCAAATCTGTGGAAGTTACTAAGCCTTTTGAAATGTGAGTGTGTTGAGTCTGTATTTTATAGCTAAGGCCTAAACCTTTCTTTTTGGTATTGCAACATCAGCCAGTTACAGTTTTACGTGGTTCTATTTGTGCACTGTAGCCGAGTGCAGAGCTTATCCAATCACGCACAATGGCATCTTCACGTGACTCAAGATGCTGCACATGTGTCAACAGAGAAATAACTTCAAAGCCGGCAGTGCCCATGGAGGCAGCCACGGTGATAGCAGCGGTCACCAGGCTTCCAGTCAGAGCAGCACGGCAGCCGGTGCCCCGGGGAGCAAGAAAAAGAAGAAAAAGAAGAATAAGGGGATGAAGAGGAAGATGGCCTGGGAGGAGAGGAAGCAGCAGCTGAGTTGGCACAAAGGTGGCGGTGGAGAGACTCTGCCTGGCCAGTCGTAGATGGCAACGTGTTCGGACTTGTACACTTTTCAGATAAACGACAGCCCAAAATAAAACCGTGTGTATCTTGTCAATTCGTACCTATGCTGTGTGTCATGGGCTGAGTTTAAACCTTCATCAATAAGAAAATAAAATCATGGCTTTCTGTGCTATAGTTAAGGGAATTTTTGCTGTTAAATTGTTTAGGGGGATGTCACAAGAGTGCTATACCTTGACTTTCACGTCTATTTTCTCTTTAATGAAGCTTAAAAATTGTTACGACCAGCGTCTAAGTACAGATCTACTGGAAGCGATATGTAATGTGGTGGATTGTCTCTTTTAAGATCATCACGTGTGTGAATGATGCCAGTCCATAAACATGCCGTACATAAGGTGCCTATTTTTGTTGATGCTGTTATCAAATGCCTTCAAACTCAGCCACAAAACGATATTGTGAACTTGGAGTTGAGATTATACGAAGATGATGTGAAGAACCCAAGATGGGGGAGAATTTGAGCACGGATGTGTTGGAGTTTCTTCAGTCGGTGTTGCTTACGTAACTTGCTGTTATTGCATACCATATTTTTTGTATGAGCGCAAACAGGATGGCACTGCTGAAAGGCACTTGGGTCTGCATAGATCTGGCTGGAATCAGAATTGTTTTTGCTTCACACTTGACAATAAAGTACATTTGTAATAATCGTATTGTTACCTAATTTGCTTTGTCCCATCAGGTAGTGCACTCAAGGCACACACATTTCGTAAGCTGATGGTCTCTGGCTCACCGATTGAGGCAGTAGGATCTGGCAGCAGGCCATCCTCCTGTGAACTCATTAACTTAACACAGACACGTCTTAAATATACCCATGCCTCTCGAGTAACAAGTATTCCGCCATGTTGAATGTTCATCTGCGTTGGCACGGTGACAAACGTGACCTCACGCCCACCCTGTTGCAGCGCTGTTGCAGATCACTTGAGACTCTCCTCGCCTCCAGGGATCTCTACTGGTTGAAACCAAATCAACCCGAACTGCGTGGCAAGGAAGTGGTTTTTGAGTTGCAGTCCTGGGAAGTTGATTTCCCCCGTGTCGCCACAGCCTGTGTGAACACGGCAACATACATGAAGATTGTTAGAAGCCATGGCATGACATGACGCACAACATGGCTTACTGCAGCCGATGGGGGAGGTAGGAGGTCCTGCAGAATTGAGATAGATTAGAAGAGAACGAGACCTCGGGGTCAATGACCACCAACGATTTGCATCCTCTGGCAGTGTAATGCCAGTGGATAAGGTGTACGGTCAAACACCCGTGGTCTTTACCAAGTGATAGAGTCCTTGAAAAACGAGGACAAATGTATCTCTTCAAACTCTATAAACTGAAGCCGACCTCAGGGAGTTTAGACCCGTGTTTGTCACAATCATTGCCGGATTATCCTTGTAGCAAACGTAGCAAATGCTACATGCTCTGCACTTTCAAGGGCCCCGCGCTAAATGCTTTCAAGCTATCAATTCAGGTTCAGTGATTCTGCACTTGCTCTATTACTATAGTACTATACCGCCTTCAACTTTTATGAACTGGGTGTTTAAGGTTAGCGATTTGTCGTATTATCTGGCTGTATAGTGTTTTAATGTGTTTTTTTATTGAGGGCCCCCTTATAACATATGCTAGAGGCCCCGCACTAGCTAAATCTGGCACTGGTCACAATGGTTGAATTTTGTGTGTAAGTTCGAATCATTGTTGACAATGTACTGCAACAAAGTTGCAAATTACTGCGCACCGTTTGGCTTATTATATCACAGATCTTCATGTTATGGCAGTGACAATATTAGAAGTGCCAACGGGCTGGAATTGATTTGTACCGAGATCTCATACCAGTATTGCTGTGTTCAACTCTTATCACAATTTACTCCGGGCTTCATCGCCCATCAACATCTCCAACGCCCTCGTGACATCGTCGTCACATCGGCATCACGGCCACATTGCAGCGAGACAACTCTGCACGAGCATCAGCTGAGACCTCCAGCCACGCGCACCCGTGACGCCACCAGCGCTGAGACCACGCCCACCCGTGACGCCACCAGCGCTGAGACCACGCCCACCCGTGACGCCACCAGCGCTGAGACCACGCCCACCCGTGACGCCACCAGCGCTGAGACCACGCCCACCCGTGACGCCACCAGCGCTGAGACCACGCCCACCCGTGACGCCACCAGCGCTGAGACCACGCCCATTCGTGACGTCATCACCGCTGAGACCACGCCCACCCGTGACGCGAGAGTCGAGAGGAGACCGCCGAGTCGACAGCAGCGAACGTCCCAGACGAGAGGCGGAGATGGCGGACCCACGGCAGCGGCAGCTCAAGATCAAGGCAGGGGTGGTCAAGCGGTGAGAGCGTGAGACGCAGGGAGTGAGACACAGGGAGGGATACAGAGGGAGTGAGACGCAGACACGGGGAGTGAAACACAGGGAGTGAGTCACTGCGACACAGGGAGCGAGTTGAAACACTGCGACACGGGGAGTGAGACACGGGGAGTGAGACACCGAGACACGGGGAGTGAGACACGGGGAGTGAGACACCGAGACACGGGGAGTGAGACACCGAGACACGGGGAGTGAGACACCGAGACACAGGGAGTGAGACACGGAGTGAGACACCGAGACACGGGGAGTGAGACACGGGGAGTGAGACACCGAGACACGGGGAGTGAGACACCGAGACACGGGGAGTGAGACACCGAGACACAGGGAGTGAGACACGGAGTGAGACACCGAGACACACGGAGTGAGACACGGGGAGTGAGACACCGAGACACAGACACCGAGACACAGGGAGTGAGACACACGGAGTGAGACACGGGGGGTGAGACAGTGAGACGGGGGGGGGACTGCGCCAGTTGTGCGAGGCCTGCCCACTGGGCCCGAGGCGTCGCCTCTGCGGCGTGAGACTCATTCGCTCACCAAACATCGCATTGCACCTCATTCTACACTCATTCCTTCACCCACTCGACTCGCTCCATTCCTTCACCCACCATTCATTCCCCTTCGTTTACTCAGCTTTTCATTCATCGCCATTCATCCTCTTTCCATTTTTACGCCTATTCGCGTTGTAATCTATTCACTCTGTCCACCCTTTACTCATTCACACACCCGCTCGTTACACTCATCGGTTAACTCGTCTGCTCCTTCCCTCGTCAGTCATTCCTTCACTCTTTCTTCATCACGAATTGCATCACGCGACTATTCATTCACCCAACCGCTCGCTCGCCACGATGGGGCCCGCGTGGTGGTGGCAGCCAGGGGCGGCAAGAGACGCGCGCGCAGGCGGCCAGCCCCCCCCCCCCCAGCTCCCCCCAGCCCCCCCCAGCTCCCCCCCAGCCCCCCCCAGCTCTCCGCCCCCCAGCCCCAGCTCCCCCTCCCCCCAGCCCCCCCCAGCTCCCCGCCCCCCAGCTCCCCGCCCTTGCGTGCGCGGTGATGGCAGCGGCAGCAGCAGCGATTCATTCATCAGCTCCATGCCAATGTCGAGGCGTGCCAGCCACGCCGAGAGGGCTGTCGCAGACAGAGACAGACAGACAGAGTTGGCGTCGTGTTGTTGTTCCTTCTCAGTAGGAGCACACAGACCGCAGTAGGCTACACCACGTGGGCTACAGTCTGTGGGTTATGCGGCCATAATCGTACCGTGACTCGTGTTCAATATCTCTCTGGGTCTCTATGTATCTCTGAGTCTCGATGTGTCATGGCCACAGTCGCACTACTGTTCGTGTATATGGCAATATGCTCATGTCGAGTGAGCCAGCCACGACGACAGGGCTTCAGGAGAGAGTTGGGGTCGTGTTTATGTCCCTCCATTGAAGGGGCGCGGATAACCGTGGTTTACTCGACTGTATAGTCCATCGTTTGGGCTGCATGGCCACACTCGTATTGCGGCTTATCTTTACGTTTCCATTTATGAAGGAGATGTGCGCATCGTCCTGCTGGTGTTCTGATGGGGATGGTGGTTACAGCCGTGTCTTTGAGCAATGTCACAGCCAGGAGGTGTGATGTTTAGGTCTCGCATGAGGAGTTTAGTCTGGACATCTGCATTGGTCCACTGTTCACCCGCGTTCTTCCGAATCGGAGTGAAATTCTCGGATGGTGATGGCACGATCCCAGAAGAGGAATCGGGACTTGGGATTGGCATCGAGCTCATTGTTGAGGTCTTGTTTTTGGTGTTCCCTGTGAAGTCCGCAATGCTGCTCTGTACAGCAGACAAGATGGGATGCGTCTGACTGAAGCAACTCAAATCTGCGGCTGAGAAATCAATTTCGGTTGCGCTTAGAAGCCTGCTAAACATGTATTTTCTGATTACACGAAATCTTTATTCGAAATTGTTGAATTCATTTAACAACGTACGAAATTGTGCATTGCATGCACAAAAGCTTCTCCAGACCACCAGCTCGGAATGATTTAATGTGACCACTTTATCGATTAATGCCACTGATTCAAATCATTCAAATGCGACCATCCCATCAGACAAGGAGTAGACAAACTGCTGCCTGTTGGTATAGCCACATTTTCTCATTTCCTTTGCAGCCTAAACACCCTCAATGAATCCAGGTGTGGCACGAACAGCATGCCACGACCCATATTGACATGGCTGCCCACAACACTTGGTGGCGTGTCGGATTGCGAGCAGGTTATAGGTCAGGGTGGCAAGGCTGCAGATAAAATCCACTTGTCAGAAGGAAAATGCAATTTAAACGTTCACACAGATCCAGTGGTGCCGAGTGGGGTGTGGTAGTTGCCACGTCAGAAGGATGTAGGCAGTAGGTGTGGCCGTATTAATAGTCTGCGTTATTGTGTCCATGTACCAGAGCTGTAATGGCGTGTGCTCCCATGTGTTGTGTGTGTGTAGTATTGCCAAGGAAACGACGATGTACAAGTTGGAGTTGACGCAGCAGGAGGAGAAAGTGGAAAAGATGAAGACGGGGGGAGACGAGTACATGCTCAAGAAGCAGGTGTGCATGCTGTGTGTGTGTCCACTGTAGCAGCGTTGATGGTCCACTGCACGTGTGAGCTGCCGTGGTTTGATGGTTAGCGCACTGGAGTTAAAATCCAGAGATTGCCGGTTGGATTCCACCTCCCGGCTCGGCAGGTGAAACAAAGTCCCCCCCACCCACTGCCTTGGTCCACCCAGCAGTGTAAATGAGTACACTGCAGTCAATCAAGAGATTGTATGGTGGGGTAAAGTGTGGGTACACCCACCTCTTCCAACATGTCTGGCCAGCGTGTAAGAGTAGGACATTATGCCCTCTAGAGTTTCCTCCAGTGGATGCCCATTTGGCAGCAGTGATGTGAGAAAGCGATTGTCGGGCTGTCTCGTTTTCTATTACACATCAGTTCCACGATGTATCAGTTTATCGATTAAGAATGATGCCATTTACAAAACGCTCCTTGCATTATGTAATAAACGCAAATTATATGCCATTAATGGGTGAAAAAACTGGAAAATAAGGCATAAATTAGAGAATACACAGGAGACAGTACATTATAAAACAATAGTCTAAATCAAAGTGTAACCCAAAATCATGAAAATTAATCAAATCAATGGGGATGTGAATTGCTGGAGGCTGACTGACCTCACAGTTTATGCAATTGCCTTTTATCCACAATAACTTAAATATAATCACAAGTCATGAGAGCATGAGAAGCAGGGAGTGAGACAAGTCATGCACCTATAGACCACACACACATCATCATGTAACCATGGAATACACATAAATCGTGTAAACCATACACAAGGCATAGTTCTATTGAGCTAGGATTACAAAACTGCCTCTTATGTTTATATACAATGTTTATGGAGGCCATTGGGAACAGAATAATGTAACATATAAAGACTAATCAATCACATACACAAGCTAGGTTTAGGAAAGAGTTCTTATCTTCCATTGACCACATAACCAATCCGATTCTGGAAAAAATTCACGTGAAAATATTCAGAAATGAAAACTATTGACATCAATGGCCTGTTACACTGGGGACTATTAGTGCCACACACGCTCGCGCAATTACTGAAGAGCATGGTACGGTGGAGGCTGCTTTGAAATATACCACTCCTCTAAATTACATTGCGAGTGAATCACCATGGGAAATGGCTTATTGATCAGAGAATTCAAGAAGCAGACTTCCTGGGGGCTGAACACGGAACATCTGCTCTTCAGCTGTCTGACGGGCAGCTTGGCATTCTGTGTGGAGGTTAAAATATTGACAACAGAGGTGGACAAATACATTGGGAAACCTGTCACATAGAACTCGGGTTGCATTGCAAACATTAAAATGTATATAAATTAATGTGGGTTTTATGCAAAAATCGGATGGAAAGAATGCTGCATCAGGGTTGTGCTCATTGAGAACTGTTCATACATTCAGTATATGCGCCAACAGCTTGAAAAGTAACCAATGGCTGCGTCGTGTTGGTCATCAGATTGAGGTTCTTCAGGAGGCCAAGATGATGATCCCTGACTGTGAGCGGCGTCTGGCTGCTGCCCACGGGGACCTCTCTCAGCTTGTGGTACGTTGTTGATGTTGCTGCAGCATAAATCTCTTGTGGAATGCCAAAGGGAACATTATTTCCTGCTCTAATGAGCACTGAGGCGGTGCCCATCTCATGTTTATAACCATGAGCTAAAGTTGGAACTTCCACATTCCTATGACGGGGGTGAGTCTAAAGAACAGCCACTGGGTGACTTTCCCATTGTAACGACCCTGGAGGGATAATGGGCTGAGTCGACCCCGAACCAGGATTTGTCATCGCAACCTTACGCTTGCAAGCCGCTCGCTCTAACGCTGAACCACCTGGCCGGAATAGGATATGTGTAGCATGACACTGTCTCCCACACGGGTAGGATGCACGCATAGAGCAAGGTTTTGTCAGAAACCATATATTCCATTCACCATATATTTAGTAAATGTGTGTCTTTGCATATATTTTAGTTTACATGTGAATTTCTCCTAAATTCTATAACCGTGAACATTACATCAGATACTCTTAGGTTTTTTCGGTAAAGTCACGTATCACTTGATACAGTAAATCTAGCTGTGACGGTCCCACCTGATGACGGAGACTTGTGTTTCCTCCGAAACGTCGTGATTTATAATTTTATTTCTATTATTTTATTAATTACAAATTTTTTTACCTACGTGACTTTACCGAAAAAACCTAAGAGTATAAATCCTTGCAGTCACGAAAGCTTCAAATCTAGAATTACATCAGATCCGCTCAATCGTACATTGGTTACATGAGAACACAGATACTTTTCACCAGCTGGAATTGAGTCTCACGGTCACGGCATATTATTTAGCATTGTGATATTTAGGCAGATTATATGCAAATATGTTAACATTACGTTTAACTTAAAAAGTGGGTATAACTACAAATAAAACCAAAAAAATGGGACCCAATATAAATGAGACTGTAAAAACCGATTCTGATTATTGTGACCCCCGAATCGTGAAAATTCATGGGCTTTCCTGTGGGGTGAATTGTGCCAGCGGAGAGAGGCAGAGCAAACGCGTGTGTGCTCTGCATGGTGCAGGAGAACGAGCAAGACCTGGCGGACACGGAAGAGTACCAGGCTGCCGTCGCCATACTGAAGGAAGTCAAGCTGGAGTCCAAATGATTCTTATCTGAGCCTTAATTGTATCACAACCCATTCCTGCAGCAGACATGCACGTTGCTCACCCCCCTGTCTACTGTTTACTATGGGATTCCTCTTATCTGTGGATCCTCTTTATCCGTGAATCCTCTTGGGAAAAAAGAGGCAGCGTATCCATATTTCCTCTTGGGGAATTTACAGATAAAGTGAAAATGGGGGATTAAAAAACGTTGGGAATGTGATGTTATAAGGAGCTTGAATTTCCCATACTGTGGCACGGGTCCCTGCTTTCTTCTGCTGTGTGCTGCACCGCGTTGCACATGTGGCGTCAGGTATGCCGGCGAAATAAATACTAAAAAGACGGGTGCATCGCCCACGACTGGACATATCTCCCCCCTTGCGGCTTTGTGGGAGAAACGAAAGGAACCTAAACTCCGGATCACCCTCACGGTTTGCTGCCACACCTTGTTGGGCATTGCCTAATGGAGGCCGTGACTCTCCCTGGTTTCCCCAGATTTGAGTTTTCATCTCCCATAGAAACTTGCAAGAGTTGGGCAAATGACCGCTCATGATTAAATGGTATATGTGGTAGTATCGTGCATTCCGCGTGTGACGTGGCCATCTTGCAAGAGAGCACAGGCAGCCAGGCCTCAATGCAAGGAGGACCCATCCTACCCAAACCGTCTTATCCACGACGCACTTCCCACTGATTTCCACCTCTTCCACAGACTAAACCCGGACATATGTCTTCGGTAGCCTATTTATATCGAAACCGCATTGTACCGTGATAAAGTTCAACACAATACTGGTAACAAATCTTGGTACTAATTATTTTGTGCCACCTGGGCACAGTCGGGTCAAACACTGATGGGCAGCAAAACCCCACATTCCCACATCACAGATAATATGAATTCTACGGTATCAAAATATGTATTAAATGAATAAAACTGTCCAGTTTGTTTGCATAACTCCTTCAGTTCGTATTGCAAATTGTTAAACTTGAGCTTTGGAATACCGAGGTTAGATAATTTTCCAATTAACTAATTTAATCCACTTAAACGAGATCTTGAGAAGTTTATATGTTTTGCCTTGGAATTAAAAAGTCCAGCTGGAAGCCTGTTTCGTGTGCTGCTAACTGGTCGTGGTTTATGCCAGCTCGTCGTGCGGGGCCCTGCCTGATGGTATCCCACAGCCAGCATTTTCTTTCGAAAGCCATGTTTACTTTTGCGGATTTGTGCCTTGTTGGATTTCGGGTATTCTAACTCGTAAATAATCTCGCTGAGCTTCACATGTGGCAATGTCACTTATATCTGACCTTGTTTTGGATGCCGTTTGGTTGGCCTCGCTGGAGTGTAAAGTAAGCGGGATGACCCCGGGTCAGTCGGCTGCCTGTTTCTGACATCGGTGCCGATGACCCACTTGTCACTTGACCGTCGTCGTATTCACACGGGCCATGTAAGAGACATGGAGTGGGTCAACCAGTGCCACGTCCAGATTTTCAATTGAACTCTTCAACTGAGCCCTTATCCACTCATAGATGGGCACGTGTGACTGATGGGATGTGTTAACGTTTACTGTATTGTATGTGCAGCGACAGATGCGTTATGGAGGGGGCAGATTGATTATTTACTCAGTTTAATGGCTTTAAAAGGAAATAATAGGCACGTTTCTGCCAATGGCTCTGTATCAGAGTTGTATAAATAAAGGTTGTGTATGGCTCACACAGCGAATTGTCGTCATGAGCGGCATCGGTTTAAGCAGCACGAGACACGAGCGGTGGCGGCCTGGCTTCTGGAAGGAGCTTCACAGCTCCGCTGGCTATTCCAGATTACGACGTCTGAAAGAGAAATGGGGAAGTTGGCAGCACAACCACATTTCTCAGTAGCATTGGGAGTCCGTTTAAAACAGCCACCTTGTAAAGAGGTTTCGCAGTTTTCAATTTAACACGTGGCTTTGGTGGTGGTGGTGCTGCCGAGCCGGGAGCATCTCGCCCATCACATGGACGACGTCCAGAATAATGACCTCGGTGGGGACCCAAACGTCACCGCACCTCGTGGCTTTGGCAGTCCTCCTCGAAGACTGATTGGACCATCAACCGCATCAGAACGTCAACAGGCCGATGGGGACATCTTCATAAATGGAACCATTTATGAAAAGTGCGATTGTGGCCATGCACCCAAGACTATGAACCATATCGCAGTGAGCGCCCTCTCTCCTGACGCCGTGACGAGCCGCCCCGACGGGGGTCGGTGTCGGTCTCCTGACGAGTCGCTCGCTGCCGCCGCCGCCACGCGCGACGGCGATGCAGAAGCACCGCACGTTGGGTGCAGGCGCCGGGGGCGCCGAGGGGGCGGGGCTTATGAGGTCGAGGGGCGGGGCTAGTACGGAGTGGGAGGGACCATATACGATGCGCGGGGGCTGAGGATGACGGGGGGGGGGGGGCTGGAAAATGACGCAGTGAGGGCGGGGCTGGAGGATGACGTCATAAAGGGGCGGGATCGGAGTGAGAGGGGCGGGGGTCAGGGGTCGCGGCATGGACGGCGAGAAGGCGCTGGAGGTCTACGGTAAATCGCCCCGCAGTGACCTCAACCACAACCACTACCACAACCACAACACCACAACCATAACACCACAACACCACAACCACAACACCACAACCACAACACCACTACCACAACACCACAACCACAACCACAACCATAACACCACAACACCACAACCACAACACCACTACCACAACACCACAACCACAACACCACTACCACAACCACAACACCACAACCACTACCACAACACCACTACCACAACATCACTACCACAACACCACAACCACTACCACAACACCTCAACCACAACCACAACACCTCAACCACAACCACTACCACAACACCTCAACCACAACCACTACCACAACACCTCAACCACAACCACTACCACAACACCTCAACCACAACCACTACCACAACACCTCAACCACAACCACTACTACAACACCACAACCACTACCACAACACCACAACCACAACACCATAACCACAACACCACTACCACAACACCACAACCACTACCACAACACCACAACCACTACCACAACACCTCAACCACAACCACTACTACAACACCACAACCACTACCACAACACCACAACCACAACACCATAACCACAACACCACTACCACAACACCACAACCACTACCACAGTACCACATCCACACTATCACAACCACGCTGCCACAACCACACTATCACACTACCACAACCACAGCTACACTATCACACTACCACAACGACACTACCACAACTACACTACCACAACTAACTATCACAACCACACTACCACACCTACACCACACAACACAAAAACAACAACCGCCGTTCGCCACCAAGTGCCGGTGATGTTATCACGGCGCCTGTGCCAGGCGACGTGCGCTTCGAGGCCACGTGAAGAGTATAACGCCGCCTCAAGGTCATGGGCACGGGGCAGACCCAGCAGGTGCCATGGGATGACTGACTGAGATGACCGAGACGATTGACTGAGATGATTGACCGAGATGATTGACCGAGATGACTGACCGAGATGACTGAGATGACCGCCAGATGCGCCACCGGCTGTTCCCCGACTGTGCCAACTCGGTTCGTTTTAGTCGCCCGGCGATCGTTCGTTGTTGTGAGCATCGCTCCTCTGCTCTGTTGGTGTTGGAGGGCGACTGCCCCCATCTGACCTGTAGCAGCGTCTTTGACGAGCCTCCACCGCCACTGTCACCACATCACCGTCATCACACTTACACCACCACCGGCATCTTCACTGTCACCGTCATCGGGAGTCGCTGTCTCACTGTGCAAAAAGCACAAACTCGCGTTGAAATGCGCGACGCTTCTAGAAAGGAGCAGGCCCTGCCTGGCTGCGGGTTCGAGCTCTCACGGCCAGGAGGATGCTCGGCCTCCTGCCCCTCCCGCCGTGGGCTCCTCTCGCTCCTCTTGCGTTGCCCCCTTCCATCCCCGCTGCCCGCGACGGCTGTGCCCCCTGGTGCAGGCGAACCTGGCCTGGCACGATGCGGTTGGTTGTGTTTGGGGCAGTATTGATTCTCGAAGCAAAGAGAGAAACGTGGCCACAGAGACAAGGGGCAGCGTGTCCCAGTGAGGAGCTGCGGCACGCAGATGTCGAGTGACGCTCGCGAGATAAGTCGCCCTTCACGATACGCAACCCTGACGAGCCACCCAGACACTACTACTGGCCCTCCTCCCACTGACCATCACCCTGCTAGTTGTATTCGGAAACATGGTTTCTACCGTTGACCGCAGGCATATCAGATTCTGGGAGAGAAAACTGCAATATCACGTCGCGTTGTGCACAGCTTTCTGATTCGTAAAACGAAGAGTTGGGTGACAGGTTCAGTGTAAGATTGAGGGAATGGTGTCTGCATTTCTGGACTTAAAATTGTAGAGATTTTCTTTGAGGGAAACTTTAGTGGAGATGTTTTAACTCTTAATAAATCGGATTCAAGCAAACAATATAACGAGTACATTTTTCATTCTGTAATTATCTGTGCATTCACAAGGAAATAAACCACATTTGTAAAAGAACATAGACATGCACAATTATTATGGATCAAAGAAGATTTTGCAGCCTACACGATCCATAAAGTATTTTTGTATTGGGCCACAGAATGATCTGACCAAATTCATGTTCTAACACCCTGACCCTCCACCACCAGAATTCTGCCCAAATAATTTATGTGGCCGAAACCAAAAATCTTTTATAAAAATTTCATTTTAAGTTTGAACGACGATTGGATGCCTGCATTGTGGATGTAAGGCTGGAGTGGTAATATATGCATAGAGGCCTACTAAGCAATGATATCCGTGTGACCCTGACACGCTCCTGCAGACGTCATCCGCACCATCCAAGACCCCGAGAAGCCGAGCTCGCTGGAGGAGCTGGGCGTGGTGAGCGAGGGCTGTGTGGAGGTGCAGGCCCTCACGGAGGCGCAGCGCGGGGAGGACGAGGAGGAGCATCTGGTTGTCATCCGCTTCACGCCAACCGTGCCGCACTGCTCACTCGCCACGCTCATAGGTACGGAAAGCAAACGCAGTCCTAGGAGCGGCAGGGTTGCGTAGACGCGGCCACCAGCCCCTACCAATCTGTCAATCTGGCTGTGTGGCACTGATGAAACACTTGCAATCATCAGCTTGGGAATTTATTTTTGAAGCAACTCCCAAGCTAATGGGAGATTTTTTTTTTCAGTTGAATTCTGGTTGGGAATCAACTCGGGCCATCATCACTGGAGTTGATAAACACTTATACCACTCGAGATTGCACTGTAGATGGAATGGCCCCTTCCACACAAATGTGGAATTTCTACCACTTGGTAAGGGCTACCAACAGAGGTGAGTGTTGCCACATAAATTGGAGCAGGGAGACGCTCAGTTTAATTCAAGCACGGGTAACACCGGCCTCGTCTTGTGGGTGACCTGACACGACCTTTGATTCCCACTTGTTAGAGGGCGTTGTGGTTCTTTTTCTCGGCTGTGGCAGGAATAAAGCCCCCTGAACCCCTACGGACTGAGAATAGGTTTTCCCCTTTTTTCTGGCAACAAAACGGGTATTAAGATGTTAAAACACCAAACTGAAACCTTTTACAAGGAATCATGTCTGCATTAACCACATATACTAGTGGTCAGAATGCAAACAAAAACATACTCTGGTAGTATATGCATTGTCTTTGAAACTGATTGGTCCACACCAGACAGCTTTCTTTTGAGCCTTGTCTCAAACGGTGTTAGACCAGAGGATGCCAAAAGGCGTACTTTTACGTAGTATATGTGGTGAATGCAGACATGATTCCTTGTAAAAGGTTTCATTTTGGTGTTTTAACATCTTAACACAACTGTTTTGTTGCCAGAAAAAAGGAGAAAACCTATTCTCATATTTTGGTACTGGCAAAGGAGGTCCCATGATGTACCCCACGGACTGTCTCACTAACAATCAAACTCATTTTGCACAGTCCACACCACAAGTTAGCTACCACAAGGGTCAACAGTCTCGTAATTCTCAGTGAATGAGTGATTGTGAAACATCGACCAGACTAGAACCGCTCAAGTGCTACACAAGTTTCAAACTGCAAACTGCTGCCATGATCTCGTTAGGGTAGGTGTCTCATGCACGATGAAGGGGGTTCACTGCGCACTCATGAAGGGCGGAGCTGGTGCTGTTCTGAACGTACACCGATGCAGTATCACATATAGAACCAGAATGCATGTCGCCACTCTTTAATTATCACTACCAGTTACACAACATAACACCAGCATTTTGATTTAAGACTCTGTCGCCTCGACGGACCTGGTTTTCACCTGAGGACGGCTGCTTGCGTTGTGGCCGAAACGTCGTGAGAATAATTTTATTATGTTTTATTTTTATTATTTTATTACTTCCCGTCTACGTGACTTTACCGAAAGAACCAAGAAGATAACACCAACAGTGCATGCTTCTTATACAAGTGAAACACAATTTTTTTACAAGGGTAACCTAACTTATAATATGAATATTGTGATCCAGCCTAAAATCCATGCGGGTGAGTAAAGAAAGTCGTACCTTGTGGGAGGCCACAAATGGTCATCAATTAGAGAGACTGGTCCCACCATGGAAATATTACATTTCTACCCAGGACTACCAACGGAGCAGGGAGACTCTTTTATTTGAACCCAAATACTTTACTATTCATGTTAAAGTGTGTTACATTGACACAAAGCACTGTTCAGAAGTGAATCTTCAGGTTTATAGACAAAGGGACACCACTTAAATATCCTTCGCAGATTGAACCCAGCTTGAGCTTGGAGCAGCACCTGGGCTGAAATTGCTGTAATTTCTTTGGCTGAGCAGTCACTCTGCAAAAACTGTGATAACTGCATCCTTATGCAGAAAAACCACAGCATGTCACTTGTAGATTATATGAAGCGATGTTATCCATACACATCTGTAGCATGGAATCTTCCTGTAGTCCGTAATATTGTGGACCACTCGAAGGTGTTTCTGTTGATTTTGTTTAACCAGGTGAGAGCATAAAGAGACAAGGATTGTCTTATTCGCAAGTGTGACCTCGGTTAGCCAGCATGCTCGGCAGTGTGCCAAACACGTCAGGCTTATAGTCTGCAGTCACATTCTAAGCACTGTTCAGGAAACCTGTCGGTCACAGCGAGAGGCTTCATAACTCCCATTTCATTGTCAGCAAACTGATGTGTCGGTAACAGGAAATATTTTTTTCCTTAACTTATTGTGTCATGTCGCTGCCGCATCCGCCAAGTGAGGTTGATCACCATCAACACAGTTTAACAGAGGTCCACAATGCACCGACGCTGCATTAGTTACCATCATTGTATTCCTTTTCGCTGCGCATCAGAGGTGAGTTAGGTCGTACTGGACGGCAGCCACCGTGCGCTTCGGAGCGCGACACTTGAGGCAGTTTTGGGTGCAGCCAAAAACTCGATCTCGAAACTTCTGGTTGCCCAAGCCGATGATGTACGGGCTCAGGGAAGCGTACATGGTGGAGAGAATGCGGACGGCTTGCACCAACTGGGGGTTCACTGTGGCCGGGTTGCTCGTGACTAACACGATGCTGGTGGCATGGCTGCCCCAGCTGAACAAGAAGACGCAGACTAGGGCGGAGAGCAGCTTCACGGCTCGCACCTCCTGACAGAACGGCCGGCTCGTGGCCCAGCCGCCCTGCTGCCACTGCACTTTGGTGGCACGCAGGAAGCAGATGGTCCTCACGTTGGTGACCACCATCAAGACCGTGGGCAAAACCTCCAGAAAGATCAGCAGGACGGTGGACATGGAGTATCTGATGTAGTAGCTGGAGGGTTCTATGATGCACTGGCACCAGGGCACGCTGCCGTTGCCGTCAAAAGGTATCGTGAACTGGAGCAGCGGGTGCAGCAGCGCGCCAAGCACGGCGGACACGGAACCGATAGCCACGGCGCAGCGGCGCTGCTCCATCATGCGGCCCAGGATGGCGTTGACGCCGAAGGGGCTGCGCACCTTGGCGAGGCGGAACACGCTGACGAGCAGCGTGATCCAGATGGCCAGCACCTCGGTGAAGCGGACGGTGAAGTAGTAGAGCGGGCAGCCGGCGCGCGTCAGCAGGCACGTTCCCGTCGCCTCCGACAGGGAGGTGCCGAGGCGCAGGAGGTTGTTGACGAGGTTGCACGTGGCGAGCAGCACGAAGAGCAGGTCGGCCGTGGGTAGCTTGGAGAGGCTCTGCAGAGTCACTGCCATGACGGTTGTGTTCCCCAACAAACCGCCCAGGGCCAACAGCCCGTAGAAAAGGAAGTTCCTGAACTGCGGTGGCAGCATGGTGCCGTGTGGGCCGTGTGGCCAGAGAGCTCCTGCCAGCGAGGGCTCGACTGATGTCAACTCCGGGACACGGTGCGTCTGTCGTGCGCCACCTGACGTCGCGTGGTATCAGAAGCTCCGGTCTATTTAACGGTTTCAAGGTGACACCTCCGTAACTGCTGTATTCGCAAAAAACAACCACGTTAAAAACACTGTAATACGAGATCTAATTTATGGACAAAACCGCACGTAAGAGACGTTTTTAATAAAAGTACACGGGGTAACAGCGTGTGGACGCTAAATAAGCTGTGTACGCATTTGTGAGTTGGAAATGGGGGTTTTGTTAGGTTGTGTGTTTTGGAAATAATAAATAACTCTATCGTCAGTCCCGAGCTGTGGGTTTGCAGTTACTGCCACAGTGTTGCCCCCGTCAAGGCCCCGATGATAACCTTTCTCTCTCTTTAAAGACTTGGCCATCTGTCCGCCGTGTGCACCTGGCCCGGTGTGAATACATTTGGCCGGTGCATCTCGGGTTATACAGCGGCCAGTGCTTTAGCCAGCGGCCATTATTGCTCACGTAAGCATCACAACTTCAGGCTAAATACAAACCCAAGCCTTGTGCACGTGGGCAGAGTAAGAGATCACAGAGGGTTGCGCCCATGACACAAATCTCTACAACCACCGTTTCGACGTTTCGAGCTCATCCCAAGAGTCGGAGATTTGCGAGTGGCAACTGGGGTTTGTGGTTCGTGAATCCTTGCCGGGTGGATTGTCCATGGCTCTTGAAGCATTCACAAAGACACTGAGGGCACCACGAAGAGTCTCGAGGAGGAGGAGGAGTGTTCTTCTCCCGATTCATGAATGGCTACCTTGTTAAGATGCGGCCATCCGGGCTACAGCGATTAGTGGTGCAAAGTACATTGCAGCGAGAGCACTTGCATTGGAAAATCACACCGAATAAAGAACATCATCTGGTCAGTGCAACTTGACTCGCAATCGGAGGGTTTCCACACTGAGACTGAGAAACGGCTACAGCTGGTAGAGTGGTGCCAGCTGTGCTTACTCACTTGATGCTTGTGGGTGTTACATGGGATGGTGGCATTCGGTGTTGCATGAAAGAGTTTTATTGTGTAAAACTCCTCCTGCTAGACGTACAATGTGAACGTAAATGTGACCGCATTTAAATGTTGCCGGACGTGCCGAGGAGTGTGCAGTCCTACTACTGTAGCGTGAACTGCGTGTGGCTGTGTAGTGTCTGGCAATGTCCCAGCATGCCTTGTGGAGCAGGAGGGCGTGGCAAGGATCGAGGTGGGCATGCAGTGGCTCGATTATTTGTAGGCTGAGAAGTTGAGCTGCGTGAATTGTGCGGCGGAATCTACAATGGCAAGCGGCTGCTGAGGGTGTATGTGGTGGCAACGTCTCGTGTTCTCCTCAGGATGATTTTCATCAGGGCTATTACAAAAACGTTAATGTCTATTCATAAAAACGTTCAGGACAATGTGAATCGCACAGCCAGCACAAACTGGTCAAAATTGCATGACAAAATAATGCACACATGCCCATCAAATCTAATAGCTGCGCATGTACTGCTTGAGATGATTTAATACTGTGTATGCAGTGTGATCGTGTTTTTATGTGAAAGACTTTGCGACATATCATTGTCTCGTGCTTACATGTGTATGTTGTATTTTCAGGTCTCTGTTTACGCGTGAAGCTGGAAAGATGCTTACCGTTCAAACACAAGGTGGGGCTTCAGTGCAGACCCATCAACGTGTGAAGTGTCACCTGTGCTTAGACTCACATGTGGAGCTAATCCTGTGGAAAAAATCACTAAGAATGGAATTGTTGCATACGTGTAGTTTAATGTTAAAGCACTGTTGTAGTGTTTATAGATTTTGGAAGTCACCTGTGATGTTTATTATTTTTCCAGCTGGAGATCTACATTGCAAAGGGAACGCACGCCACGGAACACGAGAGTGAGTCCGATCTTCCCATGGGAAAGTCAATGAGTTAAAACGTTCCCATAGCGGAACTCCTATCTACACTGAGGAATGCACAAATCTCCAAATGCAAAGAACGCTCTCTTAAGTCTTTGACGCACTCAGCTTTGGATGTGCTACTGTAGGCCCCGGTGGAACGAGTAAATCCTGTGTCCCCTTGTGGTCTCTGCGCAGTCAACAAACAGATCAACGACAAGGAGCGGATCGCAGCCGCCATGGAGAACCCCAACCTGCGTGAAATTGTGGAGAACTGCGTGAAGGATCTCGATGAGTGAGCCGCGTCGTGCAGCAGCAGCAGCACAAATGCGCCCCGCGAGCAGCGCCGTGGGCTACAACCGTGATTTGTTTGTGGCCCGGCCGGCTCTGTGGGACCGTCCACGTGGAATGGATCGCTTGCCCATGCAGGGCTGCGCTTCTCTTGCGCAATGTAACGCAGCGGCGATACTGCAGTCAAAAAGCATCCAGGCAGCCCAAACGGATGATTTTTTTCATGAAGGTGGGGAAGCTCTGAGCCAGTGATGGTAATTCCACATTCCTGTGGTGAGGACCAGTCTCCCCATAACCACTGTTGACTCCCAAAGAGTGGTACTCATTTTATCAACCCTGAAGGGATTTAACTTAAAACTATCCAATTGTCAAACACTTTAGCCAGAGCACCGCTTTGGTAAATGATATCACAGTGCCTCGTAATTGTGAGACGACACCTTGATGGTGCCGCCTTGTGCTGGTGTGCTCTGTTTATGGAGTCTGAGATGTATTTATTGGTGACTGGGTAGCCCAGTCGTCAGTGTGCTCTGCACTGAACCAGGCCAATGGATGGACTAGCAGCTGTTGTGTGGCGTTTCCTGCAGGGAATTACCAAGGTGTGGCACCTGCTGTGCAGTGGACACTAAAGATCCATTGACATCCTATGGGAACATGTCACACTTGTAACGTGGTGTTTATGTGTGGGTGCCAGGGTAATGTTAAATTTAAGTTTAAAGACTGATGAGATTATACATTGTTGTACTCGAGGCAGTGAGGATGGCGGTGATAGACAGTGTACAGCGTGGGCTTCTACACCACCGCCAATCGCAATCACATCGTAATAAGCAGGGCTACTTTTCAGAGCAATTCATTTCAAAGGCCTCCAGGTTACAAGAGTCTGTTGTACAAGAGTCTGTTGTTTAAGCTGGATTAGAAGATTTATCAGATCTCAGTGGATTTTAAAGTGTCTACTGTTGTAACTATGCCCAACTCTTGCCTTAGCCAGGGGGATGATTGCAGGCCTGGTGATAATTTCTAGAACTATAGAGAAGATTGTAAGAGGTTTCCTCTGTGGGTGCACCAGAGGTCTGCATTTGCATTATGATACATTGGAGATTTTTACCTCCAAAGCTTGGCTTGCAGGTCAATGGAATAAATATCATGTTAATTGAAGTACATACCAATGTGTTTGATTAAATTATGTTAATTTTACAATTTTGGAAAATATTAGAAACTTGACTTTTGCCTGTGCAAGGACGGGTGTATTGCACTAAATCTGAAACTTGCAAGCGAAAAGCAGAGCGCGACGTGATATATTCATTGCATCAATGCGTGTGCAGTTTGTAAGGGAGCGGTGACACAGACCTATTGCATGTAAAGGTTAAAATCCCTTGTTCATCACGACGTCCTTTTTACTTCGATGTCTCAACAGCATTATGGAGATCGCGTGACGTCAGGGTTCTTCTGCCTTTGTAGTGCGGGTTGTGAGTTGACGCGGAGGAGGAGACGCCTCGGCCCCCCATGTGGGGTGACGTCAGCCGCTAATTATTATTAATGGGGGGGGGGGGGTGTACATTTGGAGGACGTCACCTTATAATGATTGCACACACATTGGCTCATTATAGGTCAATTGGGGGGGGGGGGGTCCATTTGGAGGACGTCACTTGCTCATGATTATTAATGATGGGGGCTGGTCGATGTGCAGTGACGTCACGAGCGTTCAGGACAGACATTCTTGGGTGATTATAGCAGGGATTTGTTACTGCGAGTGAAATGTCATATTTACAATGTATAAATTGCAAAGAGCATTCCTGTGATTTTCATGAAGTGTGTCCTGCATAATTGGCGTCGTTGGTCTGTTGAGCGACGCCTCAAGGTAACCAATTCCAATTCATTGCTTTCCCAGAATTGCCAGTTCATACCGAGGCGACCCTTTTGCCAATGTACATGCACAGCCCTTAGGGCAGCGGTCTCCAACCTTTTTGACACCAGTAGCGCACGGACCGGGGTGGGGGGGGGTGTTCATTATTGGGTCTTTCCCCCTTTTCAAAGCTCTCCAGCGACGTTTGTTTTTTTACTCATTTTGGCTAGGGGTGAGAGCTTGTGGGCTTACCAACACTGTGACTGAGACACTGCGCAGTGCGGGGAAGAGGCGCCGACGGAAGTGGTCAATAAAACAATGGGGGCGGGTTCCACGTGCGGACTCCCCTCTCTCACCTCCTGCTGGTGTGCGGCCCGGGTCCTAACAGGCCGCGGACCGGCACCCCCCTGCCTTGGGGCAATCCAGTGCTGGGCAACGGATTCCCCACACTGCGTGTAAGGGGCGTTTATTTAATTATATCTCACCATACTTGGCTCCTGCCACACAGGCCTCTTACCTGATATCTCCCTCTACAACTTTCACAACTTCTGTCTTGTACAGTATTCACACAAACCCTGGCTGCTGGAACCCACACGGACAACTCCTCGGCCGCTGCCCTCCATACACTCGGGGACACGGGAGTTTGCTTGACCCAGTCCCTCCTGGCATCAAAGCCAACGACTCAGAACTCGGACACAACAACATGTCCCCAACTGGGGCCCAAGGAAACAACACTTCATCCTCTTGTCAACATCCCCGAGTATCCCCTGGCACACGACACGTCCCCGTGTCCCGACAGGCTGTCAGGACAGAAACAATGTTGTCATTTGGAAACGCTCAGTGGACTCGGAGCAGACAAATGCACTTAAAATGTAGCATTTTAGTGTAGTTGCATTTTATTTTCTGTCACCCATACCGATTTACATCATTTGTTACTGCGCAATCTCACACCTTGAGTTTTGGCATTATGCGATGCGTATAGATGCCAGATACTAAGGCACTGTGCACTTACCAACTGCTGAGTAGGTGCATTAAAGCGTGCGTGCATGCGAAAACAGCCCAATGCATCCGTGATAAGCAGACGTTGTAGTCGCACGTGTGTAGCAAGGAGGAGAGGTCAGGTGTTTCCAGATGTGAAGACTGCAGGAGAAGACCTCGGATGTTGGGTGTTGACTGCATTACAGTTCTAAGATCTGCCATAAATGCAGTGGCATCAACAGCGCTGGCTACTTCTTGATATTGAAAATAAATATCTTGAGCACGGCCAGGTAGTCACCTGGAGTCTCCCAGCTGCATTGAGCCAGTTTCAGTTTGTTTGAAGCCATCACATTCATTACCCATGCGTCGTTGCTCGTATCGGCGTTGGCGAGTCGGCGGTTGGTCACTTGGCATCACCAGTGGTAGGCCCTGGTCCACACAGAGAGCTTGCGGTACGCTGGCAGGGTGCGCAGCGCTAGCAGACACGCTGCCGGAAGCCAGACACGAGCCGTGTTAAACACTCCTCGTCCTGCCTCATGGAAAGCATGACTTAGGGTACCACACGCCTGCTTTTAACAATAATTGGCAATTGCGCGTGCGTTCATTTTCATGGGAATGCTGCACAGATTTACCTCTTTTAAGTGTCAGCTCGCGTTCCAACATTTTGGGATTAGTGCTGAATCCTGTGGCTCGACATCTGTGTTCCTCCCAGTGGAGCCGAACTAACGCTGGATTTAATGGAGAGTATGTGCGTATCTACGTGTGATTCAGTGCTCTGGAGGCAGTCTTGATCGCTATCACAGAGATTACTGGGACTTCCATATTGCAAGACTAGGTGTGGCCAGAAGATGGCAGCACAAAGTAGGTTGCTAATCCATTTGTAAAGATGTTCGGGTGTTTTCTCCTCAAGGTTCTGTGCATTCTCTGGGTATTGCACTTTTCTCATGCACACTAAATTCTCAATGGGGAATTTGGCCATCCGTACAACCCAGGCAAGATGCTGTTAACAAATGTGTTTTGACTAAGTGGGGCTTTCCAAGATAAAATAAAAGTAACTTTACCACGTAGTTATGTACTTGCGAGACACGAGTGTTACGACACCGGCCAGCCGGCCAAATATGGATGGATGGATAATTCACGCCGTGTTGCCAACACCACAGGGGGAGCCCCGCCCCCCGAGGGCCTGGCGTACCTGTGACGTGGGTGCGCGTCGCGGCTGCCATGGTCCCTGCCGGGCTCTCGTCTATGGCCACCAACCACTCGATGAACTGAAAGTCAAAATGGAGCAGAGCAAGCGAGCTTCCTTTACATTCTTACTCAGCTTTGTTCAACGATAACCGGTAACCATTTTATGAATTCGTCACCGCTTTAAAAAAATCAGGAACTGGAAACTGTTCCCAGTTGAACGTCACAATAGTAAATGCCTGGAACACACAAACCTCACGGTGGCTTAAGTCACCACGTGCTACATTTGCCCTAGTTTCCCAGTTACGAAGACGTATTGTCTTTATTGTTCTAGACGTTGGTCTATGTATAGCAAAATTATATTAACCGGTTCTTTACCATATTTTCACAAGGTAAGGCAAACAACGTGAGTCAGTCTCTCTTTGAGAGTGAGCGGATGATGTGCGCCTTAAAAGTCAGAATAGGGCAGCAAGAGAAAAATGTTGACAAGGGTCACACGATGCGTACTTGGCTGGCAATGAGTTGGTAAGATTAGAAGTGATCATCCCATCAGAGACTGACTTGGTCCCTCCATCCGTCAGGGATTAAAAAGATAAATGACGCCTCTTTGGTCGAAAGTTACCAGTTGTCATGAGGAAAGACTGGCGGCCTTACTTGATCCCATGTGCTGCCTATAAACATCGTCGTCACCGCACAGCACGCCTTACAATGTGTTCAACTGCTGAAATAAAAATGTGTGAACCATTGGGCAACGTCCATCCAGATGGGCCCTCTGGCCCACCAGCCATGAGCCAATGGGTTCAATGTTTTTTTTCTCTTAAGTGATTAAACAAACTCCATTAGCCAGCAGACAAAAAAATAAAATCAACAGAAAAAGTGCAGGGACTGTTGACAGTGGTGTACAGACATGACCTAGGAACACTCAACGCATCGCTCAATAACACAGCCTGGTAATGGACATGTGTGTGCAGTAGGCTGATGTCTGGGACAATGGCCCTTTCTTTTGTGATTAATGTGTCGGGAGCTCCATTACCCAAGCGCTTCAGTGGTGGGGTTAGTGGATCACAAAGAGATCAGCATATTGCATGAGACATCGGCCGACCGGCCGGCCCTTATTGCCGTGAGGAACGAGCATCGTCCCGCGCCGCCCTGCCGCCATTCACCGTGTCCGCCTGCTGCTTCCAGGGTTCCTTCTGCATTAGTTGCGGAAGGGTGAGCGGCATCAGCCGGAGGCAGTCTTCCACCGTCCACCCGTCCTCGTCCCTAGAACCCAGAGCCGACCCCGGCGACCCCGAGGGGGCCGCCCCCGGGCCGGGGGGGGACTCTTCGGTGGTGGTGTCGGGGCCCCAAGAGGGGGACGCCGCGGCAAGGAGGCACGAGGAGAGGTCGGCCCAGGCCAGCGCCGCCGCTGCAAACACGCGCAGCAGCAACTCCACCGCCTGTGTGGCGGCGGCAGAGGGCGAGAGGCTTCGCGTGAGCGCTCAGGACAGCAACAAAGGGACCCCCCCCGTCTCCAATGTCAGGCTGTCGAGATGCTTACCATGAGCAGCGTATACCCGCGTACAATGGGTGTCTGCGTACCATGCAAAGTCAAGCTACCGTGACTATCGATGGACTGTGGGTGTCAGGGTAACACTACCGTCAGAGTACCGTGGTTGTTAGGTACCATGGGTGTGAGGGTATCGTGGATGTTAAGATATCGTGGTTATTAGGGTACCTTAAAGTGTCATGGTTGTCTACCTTGTGATGTCAGGATACCATCAGTGTCCCGGTTCCATGGGTTTCTGAGAACCACTTGTGTCAGGACCGTACCAAGGAGCATCAGGGCCATGTGAATTTCGGAGACCATAAAGTTACCATGGGTATCAGAATATGATGGCTGTCAGGGTATCAGCATTGCGAGGGTATGGCGGAGTATCGTGGGCGACCATATTCCGTGAGAACGAGCGTGCTACGGCATACAGTGGCTGTGATCGTATGCTGGGGTGCCATGGGTGAGTGGGTATGGGGAAGTTCCGCAGGGAACTGTGGTACCTGCTGCTGCGTGGCGTTGCCCTCGGTGCCGGGCCCAGCCGCCGTGTTCCTCACGTGACCCATCAGCTCCAGCAGCCACTCCTGCCGGTTCTGCACTCCTGCAGAAGAATCGGCACGCTA